CGTTTGAGGGGCGTAGGGAATGGGGGGTGGCTCCTGCTGCTGTGTGCCGCTCATCGCTCATCCGGGAGCTGCTCATCCAGCAGCTCCCACCACTGCTCCTGCAGTTCATCTCAGAGGGCATGGAGGGAGGGGCATGTGCCCCCAGATCTGCGCTGGGTGGGCTGTTTCCAGAGGGGTGGGGCTGCACTTGGGGTGGGAAACAGCGGCACTGGAAGGGGGCTATTCCAGAGGGGTGGGGCTGCACTTGGGGTGGAGCTGCAGCCAACCCAAAATTCGCTGTAGGCCCTCTGAATTCCCTTCCCAGCACTGTTGCCACCCCCCCGAGCACAACCCTCCACTGGAAAGAGCCCACCCTGCCCCGTAAAGATCCAGGGGCACACCCTCCCCAGTGCTGTCCTAAACGAGTTGTGGGAGCAGCAGCAGGAGCCGCTAGATGAGTAGGTGAGCGCTGGACAAGCTGCTGGACAAGTGGCTCCAGGACGAATGGCATGCAGCGGCCGGAACTGCCCATGCCTCCACGCACCCCCCAGACGAGCCACGGCTCCATCCCATGCCCTGGCTGGGCAGCGCTTGCCCTAGCCCCTGCCCCAGCCCCACTCCTCCCTCACTGCAGGGGCCTTGATCTGCCCTTCCCCCTTCCCTTCCACCATAACAAACTTACCAGCTGCACGCAGTTCTTCAAGCTGCTTGCTGGTATCGGAAATCGGATCGGTATCGGCCAATATGTCTCCTTCAAAATTGGCTGCTGGTATTAGCCCCAAAAATCTCTGTTGGTGCACCCCTAGTTTCAGGCTGACACTGACTTGGTTTTGTGTTCTAAGTACTGGAAGTGCTAAGACCTGTCTTTAAGCACTCCTGGGATTGTAAAAAACTAGCCTGTAATCTGTTCCATAGTTCACCTTTCTCATGCTAGGTATATTCTGGAGACATGTTATCCTGATAACAGTAACTGTTAGGTAATGTCAAATATATGTCATTTATTTTGGAGGATGAGTTCCAAAAAGCAGTATATTACTGTTTGGAATGGCTAAAAAAAAATCAAACTGTGCTGATGGTATTCTGCATGCTAATTCAGTATGTTTATCTAGAAGCTTTGGATTCCCCAGCTGGTTCAGGAAGTGGTGTGTGGCCTGCTGAACAACTATGACCTCTCACACAGATTAAGAACATTATTAGGGGGGTTTTTTCTGCTGACAGAAATGCGTACATTGAATAAATGCAATTACAACTATTGGCATTATCTTTAAGATGGAATGAAGAGAAGTGGTGCTCCATTAACTTTTGTCCAAGTCTTTCTTCAATGGGGGCAGTGCGTATACCCCCACTCCCTGCCAACAAACATGCTTGTGAATGGAGACAGACAGACAGAATCACAATGAAAGGCTTGTGTACCTAGGAGTTATGGATTCATTTCAAGGAATATCCTAGCAAGACCTCATTGAAAAAAAGAAAAAAATGACCTGAAGCAACCCGGTCAGCAAGATAGCGGGTTCCGGTTGGGGAAATCAACAGAGGTGTCATGACATTTGGGGCTCATCTTATGCCATTTGTTGCAAAATATAGCTTCCCAAGTGTGGTATAGCTCTCCTCACAATAAATTAGTAGACTCAGTTGAATGAAACCAGATATATAAAAAGGCACTCGTACAACTAATTAGGCCTGGCTGCCAGCCCTTTCTAATATCCCTTTTGACATCAGATGAGAAGCAACCTTGCAGAATCTGCTTCACAACGTGAAAGACTTGCCACATCTATCCTTGATAAAAAGAAGGATTTAATCCACAAAGCTCCTGTTTTACCTCAATGAACCCTTTAAAGGAAATTCCTCTAAGGAACCTTAATGTCACCTCTAGATGGTGCTTTATGTAGCAAAAACAAGCTTCAAACAACCAATGCTTATCTCAGTCATTACAAGCGCCAACCTTCCACATGGTCCATGGAGAATGCTCAACTGCCACAGGTGTGTAGCAATCAGAAATGCTATAAATGTTGAATCTTTGACTCCCTTTTTTTGCCATTAGAACCATTAACATGTGGGCCATGTACTTGCCAGTGAGCGCAGCCTGCAGAGGTGTCTAGTTCCATCAGACTTGTTCAATCCTTTTCGCTCAGCTACTGAACAGATACTTCACTTAAAACACTTGCCTTGCCTATCTATGTTAATACCGCAGTATGTAAAGGACACCAATTTCAGTTTACAACTAGAAGCTGTAAATTTGCCACACATTTCCTCCACTTGAATTCCTTCCAGCCTTTCATATATATAGATTAAAATAATAATCCAAGAAAATTTTTCTTAGTTGGGAGGGGTAACCATACACATTGAGATAAATTTCAATCAAAGGAAAAAAAACTAACCCCTAGTCAAGAGAAGGCAGTTACAACTACTTTCATGTGAAAAGCTACACAGATTTACCCTTTCTATTAAAAAAGAAAGAACAAAGCCTTAAGAACAGCAGACTTTAAATTTAATACTTGTGAATTTTCAATTAATTTTACAGATTTAATAAATAATTCCCACTGAAGATGCATATTGTATTTGCTCTGATTACACAACATGAATAAGGAAATTGTTCTAAAGGAAACTGAGAAAGTTGCTTTTGTCGCTTACATATGATTAGATGCTGTATTTATTGAAATACAAATAAAAAATAATCTTCCATAAATATTATTTGACTTAAATTATGTTTCTGGAGCAATTCCATGGGGAAAAATAAAATGTAAAAATGTATCAATTCAGTCAACAAAAAATGATCATAAGGCAAGGAAAACTGTTTTTAGCTAAAAATTATTTTGAAGACTACCAGCAGAAACCTTATCAGAAGAATCCAATTTCCTTTTTGCTTTCAAATTTCATCACCATATATTTGTCACTTGAGCATGATGGAACAAGTATATGTTAATGAATACTGGAAAACCCTAGCGTAGTAACAGACATACCTCTCAAGCATCACACATCATTTAAAGATGCGGAGAATGAAATAAGAAAGACAATCTCACTCTCTAGAGAAACTAATTAGGCATAATGGTTTTGTGTAGCATCACCAACTGCATCTAGCCTACCAACTGAAATTAAACAATATATATCACAGTTGAAACATAATCGCAAGAGGCAGAAAACAGTTTTACATTAAAAATACTTAATAATAAATGCAAATCATAACACCGTCTTTCTAGTTTAAAGTTGGATGTGAAAATATATAGTAAAAAAGATTAGAACACCAACTTTAGTAGTCAAGGCATTGATTTCTCGTTCAGCTTTGTGCAGTTTGCTGGTTAAGAGTGTGTTCTGCTCATTACTCATTTGTAGTTCTTTTTCAATACGATCAGTCTGTAGTTTAGCTGACTGCTTTTCTGCCTGAAATAAAAAATAAAAATAAAAAAAGACGCTTTTTTAGAAAGGGACTGTCTTTTGATATGTAATGTGCATAGAATAATACAACTCCAGTTTTTAGTAGGTTTTCAGGCATCAATGGTATTAACTAAGCAGCAAAATAATTAATCTTAAATTGAACATACTGTCCAAAGGACTGTTTGTAGCTTACTCAAAGTAACAGTTGTTCGCCATACAAGATTATGTCCCTCCCACTTCAGAAGTCAGAGAAACTGAGACTCAGTTAGGAGGCAGGCAAGGTTCTTTGGGTAGATACAATATCTTTTATTAGACCAAGTAAATAGTTGGAAAAAAGTCATTTGCAAGCTTTTGGGTACAAACACCCTTTGTCAGGCATAGGGAGACTCTGCTGGTGTTATGTGTTCTCCAAGGTAGAAAAGAGAACACACAACTCCAGAAGAGTCTCCCTATGCCCGAAATAGGGTGTTTGTAACCGAAAGTTTGCAAAGAACTGTTTTCCAACTATTTAGTTGGTCTAATTAAAGAGATCACATCTACCCAAAGAACTCTGCCTGCTTATGTCCTTAGCCCAACACAGCTACACCAACAACCCTGCAATTAGGAGGCAGATATTTATATCTTCAGCCAGTAAAACCGTGGGCTCTAAGGATGGCTGCATGTATCCACAGTGCTCAAAAATTTTGCAAACAGATATCCCACCAGAACATCAACAGCATGGCTCTGCTGAAGTTTTAAAGGAGAAATATACCTACAGTATTCTACATTTTATGTGACAGAGAGGTTATGCCAGTAAAATTGCAAAAAGCTGCTAAATATAGGACATTTACTTCTTCAGTTAAGTTACTCTTCTCTAAAAAAGTTAATATTTTTACTACATTGGATTAAAATAGAAAAAAGTGAAGTATTCGGAAAACTTAGAATGGCTGCCTTCCAGGGTTTTAAAATAAATTCTACAGCAGTGTTTCAGACTGAAGTGTTTGGACCACTTCATAATGATCCATAGCATTGTGGTAACTATACAGGACTAGTTTTTCTGGTGAGAAAGGTCGCAAACACCTATAAGAACAGAAAGGAAAAAAGCCAGCCTGACTGAACTGTATCTACATATGGAGGGATAGCAGCCAAAGAGACTGCAACTGCCAACAGAGAAACACAGGAACCACCAAAGGACTAAAGCCCTAGAGCCAGCAATGAATGTCCAGCAGAAAAGAAACACCTGGGAAGCATATATGAGACCAGAATTAACTGGGACCTTGCAGTAGGAATATACATTGAAGGGAGCAAGAGAAAGGAATTATGAAGTTGTAACAACATGGGCAGAAGAGAGGACAACCAGGTGGTAGGCAAGCAAAAAGAAAAAACAATAGCAAAACAAGGGAGAGGGACTGATTAGATGAAGGGAAAGGCAGCTATAAGATTCAGACTTTAAAAAGACAAAATATTTATTGTATCCAAGGGTATGGGGCAACCATTTTATCAATATTAAATATAAGATGAAGTAACTGTAGTTGATGCTAGTAAATGCATCTTAAGTGATTGCAAATAAGAATTTAAACTGAGATATTAAGAAGGGAAAGGGACTGAGAAGGTCTCAGTTTGGATGTGGCCCGTTCTATTTGGTAATATAGATATAGGATCAGAATCTATTTCCATCGAAATCATTGGAACTGACCTCAACAGAGGCTGGATCAGGCCCAGTGTCAAAAAATGTAAAGTTTACCATATTTCATTGGGAGACAATTAAGACTCTCACCTCCAGAGATCTCACTGTTGCCTGCATTTCAGCCAATTGTCGCACCTGTATTCTTTGGACACTTTCTGCTTGCACACCACAATTTTCTCTCTCTGCCTGTAATTCTGCTACTTCAGCTTCCAAACTTTTTACTTTTTGATGTAGTTGAGCCTTCTCCCTCAGAAGTGCCTCCACACGCTTACTGTCTCTGGTGGGGTCAACGCTAAGCAGCTGATTATGCAGTTCTTCTTTATCTTTATCCAGTCTTGTTATCTAATAGCGATTAAGGATAATAATATGCATCATTCAGTACATACAGTAGACAATTAGTGTGTAAAAGCTGATAATTTTTCCATTGTTTGAATAAGAAGGTCCCTGGGTCCGCTACAGAGACTGACTTTGCTCTCAGTGCTCTGGGATGTAAAGCTAGGTTAATCACCATCCCTCCCCAAAAGCCTGTGAATTGAGACAACTATTATCTATAACATAATTCACCCAGTTTCTAAAGCAGCTTTAGCTATAGAGGCTGGGATAGCACAGGTGCTAAGGCACACAGTTAATAACTCAGACACCACAAGTTCAAGGCCATAGCTAGGGACCCACCAAATTCATGGTGGAAGTGGGCTGTGTAGCATCTCCTTTAATCTTTCATGTTCTCCCATGTGCCCCCTCCCACCCCCCCTGTTCATTGGCAGACAGGCCTCACCACTCCCTCCTGATCAGCAGGCAAGTGAAATCCATGATTTTAAACATGGCACAGTGTTAGCCTTTCCACTGGTCAGCACCAAGCACTGGGGACGCCAGAGCTCCTCAGCCAATCAGTGTCGGGAGGCAAAAATGGCACCATATTTAAAACCACAGTTTTTGCCTCCCCACTGATCAGGAGCACACTGCAAGCGCAGCCCTTCCACCAATCAGCACTGTGGGAGCATGTGGGGAAACGTGCAAGATTAAAGGAGATGCCACACACCCCACTTCTGCGGTGAACTTGGTAGGTCCCTAGTAGCAAAAGCTTTTGAAATTTTCCTTAGAACATGAGTGGCATGGCAGGAAGTGTGACTATTGCAATCCCACATCAGATCCCATTGCGCCTTTACTTTAACATCTGTCCAGGGCCACAGAGTGCACTATTAATTCAAGTTCCTGCTCAGTCCCCTGGAACTTTTACATAATCATTTCAGTTTTTCTTACTGGCCACATCTCACACCCTAGTGCAGTGATTCTCAACATTTTTTAGATTCAAGGCATCCATCATTCTTGAGGTACCCCCTCCATAACTTTTGTAAATTGAGTGACACCCATTTCAAAAACTGATTTACTATGGGACTTCATTTTTTCCAGAGTGGGCAGGAAGTGAGGGTTAAGAGCAGCTAGGCAGGGAAAGCTTGAGCCTGCCCAAATCTGCTTATGTCCTCACACCTAAACCTTGAGCTTGCCTTTATCTGCTTATCACCTCACTTATCTCCTTATACTTCCTGTAGCACTCCTCAAAGGATCTAGGACAGTGGTTTCCAACCTTTTTAGATTGCGGACTGGCAAAGCAGACTGGAAGTGACCATGAACCGGCAAACTGCGGACCAGCATACTGCAAACTGGAAGTGACCACCATACTACGGACTGGCAGCCAACCCTTGTTTATACTCAGTATAAAAAAAGGTTGGCTGCTGGTCCACAGTATGCTGGTCACTACTGGATTTCTGGTCCGGCACCAGGCCACGGCTCAGGGGTTGGGAATCTCTGATCTAGGATGCTCCAGCATCCTAGTTGGGAATCACTGCTCTAACCAGACTAGATGCTCCTATCCTGATCTATATTGCCTGACTACTCTTCTCAAATCTCAGCATTTTCTCTCTTGTTGCTATACCCATCTTTCTACCTACAGGTGCACTCTATCTATTGTGTTACCAGCCTTGGTGTATGCCAAGGTACATAAGTATTATTAAAGTAGAAGACCCCCCAAACTTGTTTTTAGTGACCAGCTGCTATTGCCAAATTAAGGGCTTTAGATTCTTGCTCACCATATAAAAATGCAGTGGTTGTAGGGCCAGGGAAGTGTTAACCCGGCTCTTGGCAGTGACGCCTCCTCCTCACAGCCAGAGGTCAGAGCCCTTCTGTCTCCAGTCTGGCCTCCAGAGCACAAACTCTATCAGGTACACCTCTGGGGGACTGGGATAAGAGTGGCACTCAAGAGGGGAGGGGGCTTAACTTGTGGCACACCTGCCAAAAAGGTTAGCCACCATGGATGTAACACATAAGTAGTGGTCAATACAACCAAATATAGCAAATGCAGTTTGTACTATAATAGATTATAGACTTTATAACCATGATAAGAAAACTAAAAGCAGCATTTCCAGAGAAGATCATAGAATAAGAAGAGAAAACAGCAAGTGTCCCACCCACCTCCACCCCCCCACAAAAACAGAGCATAATAATAAGCCCTCTGTTCACTTTCACAAGGACATAAATCTAATCAACGCCATCTAGTGCCTAAAAGGATTGCAGAACTGGTTCTATATGGTTCCTTGGGTCTTAGAAAGACAGGCATCTGTTGTTTGGCTAATTCAAATAGCGTATTAAAATTACTACATTAACTCAATTCCAAGATAAGGTTTTCCCTCAATTCAACATGGGGAAAACAAAGCCCCATCTTAGAATCAAATGAAAAAACAGCCAGAAGAGGGTGGCACAAATCCGCTCAGCAAGACATGGGTAGCGGGAAGGCACGAGGGAAGGCACTGAAGTCAGGCTGCTTGCTTCCCCCACCCTTGTGATAGCCAGAACCAAAGAAATTAATAAGCAATAAATATGTGCTTCCTGGAGGCATTTGGAACTTTTGTCTACTATGAAGCTTGTATTTTTGTAACCCGCAAATGTAACTTGTAACTGTTTGCGGAACTGACTAGGCCTCAAAGACAAAGCTATAGCTGTGAAATTAGCTAACCTTTCTTTCTCGCTCAGAATTTAGCCTTGATAATGATAAGAACTGGATTCAACTACCTAGCTTATTCAGTACATTTCAAGAAAAAACATCTCAAAAAAGCATAGTCAGAGAGTTCTGAAGGGGCTGGATTAGTCGGGGTAGTGTTAATTTCAAACCTGAAGATGCTATGTTGCAATTTGCTTATTGGATAAACCCAAGCTTGGGCAGTACCTTATAATAATTTCTAACACCTTTTAACTCCATAAGATAACAGCTATAAAGCAATATTATGAATGGCTACATAGCTAAAAAATTAGTATAATTAGAATATAAAAGAACACACACATCATAGTAACCCTTGGGAAGGATGGAACAGAAGGGTCATTGCTGTCCCATACCCCCACGGATCTCTCTTACTCCCTGTAAGAGCAAGAACCAGATCCTGACTGAGGGGCTTCCACTGGTTCTCCTTCAGGCAGCCCAGTTCAGAGACGTCTGACTTTGCTGATTCAACTTGATGTGCATCTTCTAACCGACAGACTATCAATAAGTTACTAACCAAGTGGGAACTCTTGGTTAATTTCTTTATCTGTTTTATTATCACTATCAATTTTATTGTTAGTGTATTGTTATATTGTCTGTTTATTAGCTTAGCCTTATTAACTATTATATATGAAAACTATATCTTTTGTTGTCATAAGTAAAATTCCTTCCTTTTTGTAAGTGAAACTTGTCATTTCTTTCCTTTCCAACATCACCTCCTCAATCCCAAACCAAAAGCTCAGTGGCTAATAAAGTTGCAGTGCTCAGTCAGTCTGCAACTAAATTGATATACTCACAGTGCCCAGCTGGCCTGTGACACACCCTCCCCCCATCTGCCTCCCCACTGCCTGCCCCTCAACAACTGCTTTCCACCTTATTTTCTCTCCTGCCCCCAACACAACAGTGGGGGAAAGAAGTGTGGGGGGGACAAATGTAACATGATCTTTCAATTCTAGACATGGAACATTTTAACAAATTTATAATTTTCCATGTATAGAATCTAATTATTAGGGAGGCCAGCCATCTTAAATTCAAAGTCATCTTGGATCCAGGTAAATATGGTAAGTATAGACAGACACACACAGGCTTGATCAAAGGGAAACTGGGCGGAAACACAGGGACTCAAGAATAGACATCTGGCTGGCAGAATTCTAACCCCTGTGTCAACCCTCCCCAATAAGAATGCAAGCAAGAACTGGTGGTGTGATGTAATAGGCAGACAGGTACATTATCCCAGTGCCTGTCTTTTGTGCTCTGGTGTAAAGAATAGTGCAGAAGGCTGCAGACTTAATCTCATGCTTCTTATAAATGGCCAACTGACAATACAGCTGTAAAGCAAGTAAAAATTGCTGCATCACTCTATGAATTAAAACCAAGTGTAAACACTATGTGAGTCTCATTTTTCAATCACAGCATCCTCAGTGAGAGATGGCCATTTTACCCAGGCATTTAGGTGGAGTCCATCTTTCAAAACTAATTTTTTCTTTAACATATCCCAACAATCAAACATCCACAAACCTCTCACATAGCAACAATCCTTGAGCCATTTGTTGATTTAAATTATCATTTCTACAGATGAGAAAAATGTTACCAATGATACCCAGAACATTGAGGATCTCTTCCCACCTGTCATGGTTTCTTTAACCTATACAAGGGGGAATCTTGCTGTCATTTGTCCTTGCTTTAACAACTATCAGAAGATTCTGTTCCACTCACTTCAGCATTCTTTTCAACCCCACAACCACATCTTCCACTGGGCAGACTGTCAGCACCTCACTCTGTTTTCTGAATCAGCTGTGGTGATAAATAAGCATTTCTTTGCAATGAATTACCCAATAACAGACCTGGTGTCTCCTGGTCTTAGTGGGCATGTCACGTATGCGCTTTACTGAAGAGTAGACTAATTAGCTAAGCAGTAGATCATCACCATCTCCGTGTGTGTCAGTAGTAGGGCACAGGAAATTAACTCTGCCATAAGATAGTACTGTTGGGGACAATACTACCTTAAGGCAGAGTAACAATCACCTGTGATGAAACACGTGTGAAGACAGTGAAAGCAGGCATAAATTGTGTCCAGTCAGCCCAGGCAGCATATTCGGCACTCTCATGCCCCACCCAGCCCCTCTGCCATCCAACCTGCCACCCTGAGCTCAGAGCTGACTTCCCCGAGCCTGCTCCATCCTGGCTCAAAATGCTGCTGTCCCAGGCGCACATGTAGATACTACACCCAGAAGCAATGTACACTGGCTCAAAGTACTCTGGAGTTTATCACTTCACATTAATTGCTTCTGTAGATGCACCCAGTGAGAGCTTTCCATCTTGCCCTCCTTTCCATCTTGCCTCTGGTCTTAAGATCTTTCACTTCCTTGAATAAGCTTGACAGCTCTCCTGAAAAAACAATTTCATTGTCAGAGGGCACTAAGGTGCCTGCTCCTCTTAGAGCAGAGATTGCCCGGGGAGGGAACACAAAAAGCCAGATAAGAGCCCAGGTGCAGGTTGCCATGACAACTGGCTGAGGGAATTGGCTGCTGTAACAGGTGTGTCCCTTTGGGGTCTGTCCACTGGTAACCCCGCCCACCTGTTATGAACCAACCTCCCACCTTCTTGCCTGCCATGCCTTGTTGTTAATAGCTTAATTAGAAGATGTTAATTAAGCAGGAGGCTGCCCATTTTACTGCCCTGATGAAAGGGGGTGCTATCTGCAGCTCCTTTCCTCCCCTACACCACAGCCCAAGCCTCACAGATGGTACTCACATCGGTTAGTCTGAGCCTTACTATACTCTGGCCCCCTTGTCCTCCCTGGGCTCTCCATGGCCCTGCTTCGCTGGGCGCCTCACTGGGCGTTCGTCAATGCTGCCCCCCTCTCTGGGGCTTCTCGCTGCCACCCTCTCTGGGGCTTCTCGTTGCCACTTTCTCTGGGGCTGGGGTCTCCACACGGCTGTGGCTCCCCATGAGGCCTCCTCCAACCCCTGATAGCCTCACCCAAACCTCGGGTTCTAAACAGCAAACACAAAACACAAGCCCCTAGGCTATAACATAAAATCTAAGCTGTCCAGCTAAACATCATTCCATCCCTACCAGGGAATTCTCCACCACATAACAGCAATCAGGAGCTTCTCCCCTCTGTTTGCTCCGGCAGAGCTCCTTCTCACTTGGCTGCTAGCGGGGAACTGCCAGCCTGGCCCCAGCCCTGGGGTTTAAATGTGAACCAGGCCCTGCCCCTTCCAGACAGCTAACTGCTGGCAGGTGTGGGTCACCAGTGAACTTTGGTTGCCCTGGCAACCGGCAGCTGGGGCTCCTCACTCACTGCTAGGGCTCTTTCCTAGCAGTTTCCCCTCTCTAAAGGAACAGGGCGCCTAAGTGCTCTGCGACAGCCACACCTGGTTAGCTGGCTGGAAGAGGCAGGGCCCTAGGACCATATAAACCCTAGAGCTAGGACCAGGCAGGTCAGTTCCCTGCTAGCAGCCAGAGGGGAAGGAGGCTCCAGGGAGAAAGTGCCCAGTGATGCAGCAACTGCTTAACATGCTGCACCCAGGGGTAATGGGGCTCCATAAGCTCCTCAGGTACCCTTGCCTACTAGATACTTAGTACCAAGGAGGAAGTTCTATGCTTTTAAAGGGGCAGAGCACACCCTTGTCTCTTCTATTATGTTATAGCCCAGGGGCTTATATTTTGTTTGCTGCTTCATAACACTGGTGGTTTGGGTGAGGCTATTAGGGGAAGGAGAAGGCCTCATTGGGGACCCACTACAGAGTGGGGACCCTGGCGCCAGAGAGGACATGGCATTTGGGGTGCACAGACCCCAGTGCCAAGGGGCGCAGAGACAGGGCTGCAGAGAGCCGAGTGAGGACAAGGGGTCAAATTATAACAAGGCCTAGGCAAGACAATGCCAGTACCATCTGCAAGGCTTGGGGTGTGGTAAAGGGGCAGCTGGAGCCATGCATATAGCACATAAGGCTCGGGTGTCCAGGGACATCTATTTTGAAATGGGGCCCAGGGAAGTCCATCAGGACCATGCTCAGATAGGCTTAAAGGCAGCCTCCCTATATCAATTATTCCAACAAGACATGGCGGGTGAGAATAGAGGGTGCCCATAGGGCTGAACTGGCACGGTCGAGGGGCCTTGGGGGTAACACGGCCATCCTTAAGGATCCCACCCTGTGACAGTCATGCATACGTATCTTCCACACAGAACCAGCCTAGAATCCAGGACATCCCACAGTCTCTACATGCAACCATCTTCTTTTTCTCCTCCATTGCTCCTGCTATTTCAGAAAGGACAAGAAAAGACAGCTGCACCATACCAAACTCCTTTGTCTACTGGCCCCCACTGGTCAGGCTTTTAAAGCTACTGCTCAGGTCATCCTGGCACTCCTAATTAGACACAACTGTGATCAGAAGCAGGAAACAGGCTCTGATCCTGAGTAGCTTGTACTCCATCATACCCACACACCCTGTCCTAAATATATTATTACTAACATACTATATGAATATAAATAGAATTCTATTAAAGGTTTTATATTTAAATATCGCTCTCTCCTGAGCTAATTAAGGATTGAACACAACAAATGATTTAAAACAATCAGTCCAGCTGGTAAAATTTGAGATTGCAAAAACTGTCATATATGAAAAATAATACGACAATGGTAAAATCCTCATAAAAAGCTCAAGTGGTTTCATTTTTATGGTGGCTTAATTCAACTTTAATATTTTATACCTACCTCAGCCTCATACTTTATTTTTTTCTCTTCTAAAACACGAACATGTTCTTCCTTCTGGTGTTCAAATTCTGATTTTAGAAAGGTATGTTCATAACGCAGTTTATTATATTCTGTTCGGTATTTTTCTACTTCCTAAATTAGAAAGTGGAACAGTCACTCAAAGGTAAGTTTAAGCACATGAAATTTGTTTTATTTTACCAACACTAGCTATAAAATATCCACATCCCCTTCTCAAATAAAGTCATTTTTATTTAAACCCCACCCCCATGCCAAAAGAAACAGTAAATAATAACTCCCCCGCAAATAAAACAGAATTAGATACTCATTGCTTACTTCATCTAGCTTCCTAAATCGATCTCTCATTGGAGTTTCCAATTCTTGTTGTATTTGTGCTTTTAACAACTCCAGCTTTTGAGGAGTTAGCACCTGACATGAAGAAAAAACAAAAGGTACTGTAATAATTCAAGTATCATCAGGTGATTTACACTGGAAAACAACAAATGCTGGATAACAAAACATACTTTATTTAAAAACAAAAGAATTGTACATAGAGGTTTTTTTTAATATGTTCCATTAATAAAGTTTGCTCTTAAGCGTTTCCTATTTTGTAAAAACTTTATTAACCCTCCAATAGTTGAGAAGATTTCAGAGAAAAATCCTGTAACATTGTGTATATGTACATAATTAGCTTTTGCAATGTGTGAAAAAAATCTAGCCATTATATAATCCTTGAAATTCTTCAAGTCACCTATTCTGTACATCATGAGTGAGAACTATTTGGGCTGGAGGACCACTTTACAAGTTTTAGTGAGCTGCTACAGGGGCTGCAGGGGTGGGCATTGATCCTACCTGCCCCTGTCTGCTCTGTACCCATTTCTGGGGGTGCTACACAGAGCAAGCAGGCAGACTCTCCATAGAGACCAGCCTGGGACCCACTCACTTGGTCAGATGGGATGGGGCCACATACGAGTAAGAAGCAGCCTCTGGGAGCAGGATGGGTGGGCAGAGCTGGAATCTTCGGGTTGTGACAGCATGGGGACAGAGCCATGATCTGCTCCTCACATGTCCCAATGATGGGCACCAGTTCTGCAGACAGAGACATGCAGGGAGCAGATCACACCTCTGCCCTAGGCCCTGGCCCTACACTGTCACTGCCCCAAGATCTCAGCTCTGGCCCCAGCCCCCACCTTCCTGCCTGTCCTGCTCCCAGGAGCCATGCCAGCTGAACTCACATGGCCTGAGGCACTGTGTGGGAACACAGAGCAGCACAGCCGCATGCCAGGGACTCGAGGTAGGAGACAGAGTGCAGGGAGAAGGGAGCTGAGAGCCACAGTTACCCAAGCCCAGCCAAACCAGTGCCATGTTGTCCTCTGCTTGTCCCTGCATCCCCTTCCCAAACCTGAGTCCCTGGCACATGGCCAGGCTAGGCCAGGCCAGTACCTCACTCCGCTTTGGGCCACGTGGGTGCAGCTTCTGTCCGGCCCAACCTCATGCCAGGGACTTAGGGTTGGGAAGGACCCATGCCAGCCACTCCAGCTCTGCCCATGTGGCACAGCCTGAAGCAGTGCTCAGGAACACAGCACAGCACCACGTTAGCAGCACTCACGTCCCTACCAGGCCCTGGCTCAGCAGAGCACAGATAGCCTGCAGTTCCTGGCCCTCTTCCCCCTGCACAACTTCTCTTATCAGTGGGGAGAACCTTACCTGAGCTTTGACTCACCAGGGACTGTTTGGTCTACAAACCGCCACAGAGACGGAGCTGCATGCAGGCAACCTCACCAGACAGAAGCCTGGCCAGGAGCTCAGCTCCCCCTGCCTTGGAGCATATATTGGAGACTCAGTGGAGTGGGGCAGGGTGGGCCAGCCCATGGAGGGGAAGGGAGAGGCACTGAAAGCCAGGGCAGCTGCAGTCTGAATACAATTCTCCTTCAGAGAAGCAGCCATGGGCTGGACAGAATCATCTGGTGGGCCAAATCTGGCCTGCAGGCCATATGTTGCCCACCCCTGATATATACAGTTCTAGATGGATTTCTACAACAAGACTTTGCTATATACAGTTCTAGATGGATTTCTACAACAAGACTAAAAGTAATATTTCTCTCTGCTGGTAACATGTCTCACCTGCATCCTCAGTTCTTCTAGTTCTCTTGTTTTATCTAATAATTCTCCTCGGAGTTCAGCAAGAAGAAACTGAAATTTGTCATTGTTGGTTTGTTTTTCAACCAATGACCGCTTGAGCTCATTCTGTGATTTTGTATACTCATCCTGTAACCTGCAAAATATATTTAAAAAATACTAAGAATGTTCATATACAATCTAAGAAATAATTGATCACACTGAAAAATATCCATCACAGAGGTAACAGAAATACGTAAGTAAAAAAAAATAGCAAGTCTAAAAACATTTACCAGGTATCAGCTCCACTTCCTCCCCTCATATTTGACATAACAAATATCGTAAAATGTTGAAGTTGATCAGTATTTACAAATTCAGAAAATCTCACCTACAGTTCAGGAGACCTCTGAATTGTTACTATGTAACTAGAAAGATTTCACTTTCAGAAATCAACAACTAAACAGATGAAAAGAAAACTCTTCTTCACTTAGCCTTAGCTCAAACTAAGGAAAGCAACAACTTAAAATACGTACCGTGTATGTTCTGCTTTCAGAGTTTTATAATGTGTTTTATGATGTTCACACCGCATTCTTTCATCAATTAAAAGCTTCTGTAGTTCTTCTTGTGAACCAGCAAGATTACCACTTCCACTTGTTGGAGGGAGGAGGCTGGTGAAAGTATCCATTCTTGTTGGTAACAGCCACGTAGTAATGAATTTAGTCCAAAATCAGCACCTTCAAAAGACTTCCATCTATCTTTTCACCTGTGGCATCTCAGAAAGTAAAATTACCTGCTGCAAACAAATGCATAAAACTCATTGGTGGTTCAAGGACAAGCACTTGTGCTTTCTTTACAGTGGAGCAACAGCCCTGGCATAGTTAAGACTGACAAACAAATTCTGTTTCAAAGTTAGCTTTCTATAAGTGCTAAAAAATAGTGACTTATAAATAAATAATTATAAAAATAAATAAATAAATAAATAACTCAAAATTACTTATCCCCATCTAGTAGCGTAGCGCCCCCAGATGCCTTAAGGAGGAAAAAGTGTGCACCTAAGACTGACAAGACAAATAGATCACACAGAGCATGAGTAAAATAAGCAGCTAAAAGACTTTCTGGCCTGCTAGTTTTCACGAGCTATGTAGCAAAATGAGACAGGAAGCAGCATTTAAATACAATTTGACCGTGTCCTTCCTAATCTGTCTCCCGACATAAATCTTTATAAAAGTAAAGGAGGTATTTTGGTACAATTATCCTCTCACATGTTCTTCCGTTCTTTCCCCCTCCCCTCCACATGTCCACAGTATGAATTAAATCAGCAGAAGACGCCAAAAGTACTCAAACAATTTTCAGAAAGACAGACATATTACAAATATAAATGTTTGCCCAGAGAATATGCAAAACAAAAGAGGGAGGACTGAGAACAGGGGGAATAGATATCTAGGTAGTAGTGGAATAGGGATAAATGAGGATGGGTGGCAGTGGACCTGTCAGTTCACCATGCCTGCACCAAGATGTGGCCCTCTGAGACTGCTCCCTGCTCCTCACATGTGCACCAAGACCCCAGGGGAGGCATTTCATAGATTTCTTGGGTCAGACGGGACCTATTAGATCATCAAGTCGACCCCCTGCTCTGGGCAGGAAAGAGCACTGGGGTCAAGTAACCCCAGCCAGGTACTTCTCTAATCTCCTTTTGAACACCTCCAAGGTAGGGGAAAGCACCACCTCCCCTAGAAGCCCATTCCATGTTTTGGCAACCTTCACCATAAAGAATTTCTTCCTGATGTCCAATCTAAATCTACTCTCCTTCAGAGTATGGCCATTGTTTCTAGTAACCCCAAGGGGTGACCTGGTAAACAGAGTATCCCTTATTCCCTGCTGACCCCCTTGATGAGCTTGTAGACAGCCACAAGATCATCTCTCAGCCTTCTCTTGCAGAGGCTGAAGAGATTCTGGACCCTCCATCTGTCCTCATAGGATCTTACCTGCAGGCCCTCAACCATATGAGTAGCCCTCCTCTGAACCCATTCCAGGTTATCCACATCCCTCTTGAAGTGTGGCGCCCAAAACTGGACACAGTACTCCAGCTGTGTACTCACCAATGCCTCAGAGGGGAATTATCACCTCCCTAGACCTGCTCGTGATGTGCCTACTAATGCAAGATAGAGTGCAATTAGCATTACTTATTACCTCATCACACTGGCGACATGCTCATTTTTGTGTCGACTCTGAGATCCCTTTCCACTGCTGTGCTACTTAGAATGGTACTTCCCAGTCTGTAGGTGTATTGGTGATTCTTTCTCCTCAGGTGCAGCATTTTGCACTTATCTTTGTTAAACTGCATCCTATTCTGATCCGCCCACTTCCCCAGTCTATCCAAATCTGCCTGAATTTGCTCCCTACCCTCTAGTGTGTTTACTATACCCTACAGTTTGGTGTCATCTGCGAATTTGGACAGAGTGCTTTCTACACCCTCACCCAAATCACTGGTGAAGATATTGAATAGGATTGGTCCAAGGACAGAGCCTTGGGGGACACCACTGCCCACATTTCCCCAGGTAGAAACCAACCCATACACCACCACTCTCTGGGTGCATCCCATAAGTCAGTTTTCCTGCACCTGACTGTGAAGAAATCCATGTCACAGCTATTTAGTTTACTTGTAAGAATTGGGTGTGCTACTGTGTCAAAAGCCTTAAAATCCAAGTAGACAGCCACAAGTAGACAGGGGAAGGATGTCCCTTCCCCTCTGGGCATCTAAGCCCTCTCCCTTCAAGGGACCCATGTTTGCCCACAGTATACAAGTCCCTTGCCCCCTCCAATGAAGACTGTTAGGGATGGTCCAGCATCTCTGCCCATGCCTGAACCTCTGCCTACCTACCCATAGGACCTGGGATCTGGTGCATCCTCTCCCTGCCTCTCATGTAAGCTAAAGTCTGGGGAAGCCCTACTTCTTCAGATGGAGAACTGAAAACAGGCATGATGGAAGCATGAGCCAACCAGTGTTGAGACTGGGTAAAAAACTAAGACTGGGTTTGCTTTACGTATCAGAGGCCCTCAAGTCCTGGGATTAAGGGAAGGAAGCTTGGAGAGATGAATACAGCCTGAATTCTGCACTTCTGCATTCATCTCCAGGAAGTGTTTGTTCTCTTTCAGCTGAGAACCTCACATTGAGATGAATACGCACTTAACCTATTTCTGTTTAACTGCTTTTTCAATCACTCACACACAAGTTTCCTCAGTTTGTGGACAAATTACGGAGATGTAAAAAGGAGCAGGTTACCTGTGGTAAATTAGCCCTTTTCACTGAGCGTTAACCTACTGCAGGATAAGCTTAACGCTGGGTAAAAGCTGGCCCAAGGACAGTCACTGCAGTGCAACTACTGTTCTGTAATGTGTTCATACTCTCCAATTGCCAGGTGAAGTTAGTGATTTAAGTCTGGGGTCATTTGAAAGTCCCTTCACAAAAACAAAAAAAAGAAGCCCCCCAACATGTGCACACAAGCAAACTGCAACAGTGGTTTTATACCCACAAGGAATCAAACCATGTCTCTAATCGGTTTCACAGAAGATTTCAGTCAGTATTTACTCCAACTAGTCAATGGTGCCCACTATTCCTTTAAGGAAGCAATACTGAAAACACTATTCAAAGAGTTAAACTCTACAGATACTGTAAAACACATGGGATCTAGAGGTACCTCCTTCCTGTGTTGTCTGCATTCCCCCCCATAAACTGGAATCTAGACTGCCTCAAGCCCTTCTCTCTCCACACCATATATGTATGGGGAAAGCCTTCCCTCCCCATGCCTCAAGAGTCAGAATTGGTTAGACTTTCATATGGCTAGGCCCTATGTTGGAATCCAGGGAGGCCATCACCCCCATTCCAAGCATTGTCCAAGCCCCTCTCCCTGCCTCCTTTGCCCTGGGGAACCAAAAGATAATCCAACCTAAATCTCTGAAAATATCAGAATATCAGTATGTGGTGGAAGAACTAGCTAGAGGGAGGCAGTGGAAAAGGCACTCGCCAGAAGGTTATGGCAATTAGCTGAGCTAAGGACACCACTTCAGAGACCTAACTAAAGTAAGAGCAAGGATCCCAGATGGATCGAAAACATCGTATGGACGCAGGACCTGGGCTACATAACCAAAGAAGTGTACAACTCTCCCCTCCCTCTGTAGGCTTGCACCTGCACGTAGATGTATAAAGTACCAGACAGCAAGGGAACAGCTTTATAACGTACAAATGGCTTCTAAAATGCCAGTGACTTCATGAAAGAGGAGAGAGAGGACTGGAAAGAGTGAAAGGACCAATATGATACAGGAGATGGTAGATTAGATCTGGAGAAGGAGCCATACATTAGTTTTTTTCTCAGATGCCCACAGCTGTATCAGTGCTTTTACAGAATTAAGAGTCTGCCATTTCGGTCCTAGCAACAATTCTATCAGTCAATACATACACCAGGTATTTCAGTACATGCCTACAACCCTTGTTCCACTATAACGAAGTCTACAGGAGAGGAGAGCTACCCTGAGGAATCATATCGTTGTTTTTTAATTTACATGGTCCAGTAGCCCTGACCTGCAAATTTACATGATTCCTATAAAAAAAATTATTTTAAAATAAAAAATATATATATAAATTGCCATTGAATTTACCAGGCTGAAGCCAGTTAATGACTTCCAGGTGGTGTCTCATACCTTTCAGAATCTAAAATTAAGCAAAAGTATTTGATAGGGATAATTTAGAACAGGGGTCCCTCAACCCCTGGGCCACAGGCCAGATCTGGCACATGAAGTCATGACATCTGGTCCACAGGGCTCTATAATGGTCCAGAAATTCAGCAGCAGGGGAGAAGTGGCAATGGTAATGCCCCACACCATTACTGCCAAATCCTACACCTTTTTTTTTAAGGAAAATTTTTCATGTTCTAAATCAATTCCAAATCCATGTGAATCATTCAAGAACCATACTTGGTCCTGCTACCAGCCAGCATCCTCCACCCCGCCTGGGGCTTCAGATACTTCCAAATCCTTTGGCAGGCATCCTACATGCAGGACCAAGCCTGGAAGCTTGGGGTTTGGATCCTCTGAGTTTTGCTTGCCCTCAGCTGTATGGCCATAGGAGGAAGTTAGGGAACAGTTTCCCATTTCAATAAAGTTGGCATGTACCAGAGATCCTCCCACTGGGAGTTCAAGTGGGAGGCTAACTATGAGACTCTCGCAGGGAGTCCTGTCCACAAGCAGACAAAAGTGCAACTCTCCACTACACAGTGCCATTTTAATTGTATTACCTCGGTCAGGGTACTGCTCCATGCCACATTCTTTGTTCTCCCCTGCCAGTAGGAAAACCACCTTGGTGGTCATGGTATTTCCCCTGCACTAGGCTCCAGCAGGGGAAGAAACCTTTGTGGAAAACCCCATGGGATGGACCCAAATGCGCAGGATGGGGCACACACAGTGACCCTGAGCCACTCATCTGGCCTGCGGATTGGGAAACTTGGGCACCACTGGTTTAGAAATACTATTCCTATATTTGTGCAGGGGGCTGGACCAGAGGACTCCTGAGGTCCCTTCCAGTCCCATGATCCTTTAATGCTAAACCACAACATTCTGAAAAACAGGAAATGAAAAGTTAACATGAACACCTATGCAACCTTAACTCTTTGAACAATGACCTCATAGACACGTATTCTCTCTGCCTTTGAATTCAGTTCTGAAGTACCTTAACTCTTCATTGCCTAGCTTCCTTTAGTTTGAATTTTGCTGAACTTGTCATTCTGGTAGGGCATGAGATGCTACCCTACAACCTCAA